ATTCCCACGTGAAAACATATTATTATTTGGAAATCAAAATTCGGAGAAGCTCGTAAGTGTAATCGACGAAGAGTGAATTCGACTGTAAAAAATTGGCAAAAAAGGTTCCCGATTGTCCAGCATTACGCGAACAAATTATGTTGTCGATTTTACAAGATTTTTCCGTAAAGTTTAAAATGCCAGTAATTTTTGCGGGACAATGTGTGTATTTACGATCATTTGATATTTTATTTGCGATTAAACGAAATAAAATTAGAATTGAATTAATAAATCTAATTTTCTTTATTTTGATCTTTAAAGTCACACCTCGTCCTATATGCGAGAAGGTACGGTAACTAAATCATCACGTTCTTCAAAATAACAGAACTCTTCTCTTTTGAAATTTCAAATAATAACAGTTATATAGTCACCATCTTTTACACGAGAATTAATATTCTTCAACTCTTCACGCAGAAACGATAATAATAAATGTTACAACTAAACTTCAAAATTTATTTCATTAAGATTTAATACTTAAAAAATTAAACCTGATACTGCTGACACTTTTTTGAATAACACATTCCATTATTCTTCGGTTAACATTATATTTCAGTACATTCCATTCCATTCCATTCCATCGCCGATAGAGGAGTGCCCAGCTTGTCGCTATTCACTCCGGAAGAAACAGTGAGGAAGAGGTGGTCTTATAGAAGATCCGAGGAAGACAGGAGAGAGGTCACTACGTGACCAAAGCCGGTCTTATAAGAGACGACCCTTGCGAGAAAGGGAGACAGAATGCCTTCCGGGAGGACTTGCAGGGAAAGCTGGCCCCTATTCGGGCGTTATTGGCTAGGAGGAAAACCCGGAAAAAACTCCAGCTGCCAGCTCGTCCGAGTGAGGCGCGAACCCCCGATCGAACTCCGGTGTTTAGGGTCTGGTCACCACCAAGAGGCGGAGACTATATTTCAGTACTGTAATTAAATTCTTTTTTCTAACGCTAACAAAATAATATCATTCATCCTTGGTGACAAGCTCAGCTCACGGATCCTTTGATATAACTTTTCCGCCGTTGTTTCTCTCGCAATAAGTACACTTAACCGTGCATTAGTAGAGTGTTGGAGAAATTGAAAACCGATGTCGTCGATATTTTACAGAAAACTTTCATTTTCAAAATTATTAAGCGTAAAGATAGTGATTTTAAAGCTTACTGGCAAATCTTTAAAAATTTTTTCTTTTATTTTTAACCAGAAATTATATATTTTCTAACCTGTTATCAGCCAAGCAAAATATTCAGAAATTTCACGCTTTGTTTTCAGTTCTATTCCGGACATCTCGCAATGCCAAATACATTTAATAATAACAAATTAAGAATTGAGTGTTTGTTTTAAATATTTAAACGTTTCTAAAACATTTTAGAATTATATAACGCGTAAAAGCTAAATAATTTTTTCATTTCAATTAATTGTTTAAAAATTTGCATTAATAATTTTTTGATACATAAAAGCGGTCTTGACGTCATTCTAAATCCAACTACCGATTATAGCGCCTCCTGGTAATAAACCCATTCAGTAGCAAATAATTAAATTTAAATATCTAATAAAGGCATTAAAACAATTTCTAAATGCTTAAAAATATTTATTATAATCAAAGTAAATAAAATTTTTAATTTAAATTGATGTACTAAGCAAGTTTAAATGTTATTTTTAAACAGCGCCATCTGTTATTTGTATACAGCTCAACTTTTTAAATATTTCAACCACGTGTATTACTGTATTTTTTGTAAGAAGACTCTTAAATAATTTTATTGGCGTGTAAGAGACTTAAAATTATCAACAGTTAAACCGAATATTTGAAAATGAAATTGAATACTTCGTATAAAGGTATAAATGTGGTATGAAGACACTTTAAATAATAGCGTGAAATTTTCAACGACTACGGGTTTAAAGTGTTTGCATGAAAATTAACCTTTAAATGCTAATAAGCAATCTCGTTTCATTCGGTTACCTCTACGGGATGAATTATTTAGCCAGGCATTAGACGAGAGCGCTAAAGTTTTAACCATATTTAGAAGTGTCAATTGGAAAAAATGCCACCGGCTTTCAATCGACCTTCGTTTACGTCATCTGAAATAACCCTCATCTGACTAATCTCTCACCTGAGATAATCCTGAAGGCAGGTGTCACAGAACCTGTGCCCGCAAGTAGTAATCCTGACAGGTTCCCTCATCGGAAGGCGACACAGAGGACAGGTATAGCGACGTTTCAATGCCGAACGGAACTCGATAGCGTGGCCAGGCATTCCCTACTCGATTCACCTCATGCCACGTTCTGATCTTTCTACTCCTTCATCGATAGAGTAAGCCACAGGTACGGAGGTCCGAGACCAATAGGAACAGTCACGTAAATCATTTCGTCTTCTCTTTCTGTTTGCATACCCTCTTCAACTGGACAAGGGGTGATTTTCCTACGTTTGCTATCAGCGCCATCTATCCGTCGGTGGACTAACTAAAACAGTCAAATCCTATCGGGTACGTACTACGTTTTATTCTTCTTATAATGCCGTTAAATTACGATAAACACGCATTATTTGTAGACGCATCTGAGCAAACATTTGTCCAGAATGTAATAAATACGGGCCAACAACGTAACACGCTCTCGGAGAAAAAAGATAAATAAAATGCTCACTTTACTGAATCATTACTGCGATATCAAAGAGAACGATTTCGTTTCGGTTGAGTATTATTGAGTATTTTCATGCCAGTATCTGCGGATAAAAAATATTCAATCATCCCAGGATGTTTCTTTTTCATCTGAAGCATACGAGAATGTCACATTTTTTCTATTTATGGAATTTAACGTTATTGCCTGCGCTTTCTCGTAAGATCGAACCAATTGTCAGCTTGTATTTTATAGTAAAAATCGAAAAATATAAGAATTGACGAGAAAAGACTTTTCCCGATCAAAAAATCTAGAAACGACTAAAATTTCAAATTTAGAAAACATATAAAATGTATTTTATTCCCCATAAAATTTTATATAGAAACGTCTGTAAAGTTGTCTTCTCCTCATAACTCAGAGCTTGACAGGAAAGCCACCATTACTAATATTTTTACTAACGGCGAAATTTTGACTTTTAATAAAATTTATGTACAATTAACCCGAAATATTATTAATCTAGATATAATATAATTCTAGATGTATAAATCAAAAACATTCTTAAATTTAAAATTAAAATATTCAATTATTGGAAGCGTATCCTCCAATTTATCTTCTCGTCCGTATATTAAAATCAATTTTATTTTCATAATAATAAATGAATTAACTAAATTTTTGAATAGTTACGTAATAAATTATAAAGGATTTTATTATATAATAAATATATTTAGATGATTTATCATAAATTTTCATACTTAAATTATTTTTTCTCTTTTTTATGATTAAGGTATATTTTTAAATTTATGATAATAAGAATAATTTAATAATTTTTCATGAAATAATCTATCAGAAATTATCCTAGAAATATAAATTTTCTACATGGATAAGGAAGAATTTATTATAAAAAATTGTATAGGAAGAAAGCAATAAATTGATGAGTGGAAGATGAATGGAGAAACATTATTTTATATTTTAAATTTTCAAATATACAAAAACGGATTATATTTCCGGTATAAAGTATTTAAATGACATGAAGTAAATTGTTTATCTATAAGAAAAACATTTATGATCAATGAAAATATCAGGCAACATCTTAATGTAATTGTTTTTCTGAATTGCAATCTGATAAGAAACAAATGTAGAAAAGAATTCTTTCTCTCTCTTTTTTAAAAAAACTCCCGTGTTTAATATAAATTTTACATTAAAAAACACGCAGAATTTTCTTTAATATTATGTCATTTTGTAACAGTTAAATTTCTTACTAGAGAAAATAAAATATTAAATAAATTATTCGTTATTTTTGCAGCTGTATAAATAGAATTTTTTCATAAATTTATTTAAATTTAAAAGCTGTATAAACATTTCTATTTATGAACTAAAATCAAATAAATGAAATAATTTATAATATTTATAAATTTCTGTCGAATATTTGAATATATTTTTGAAAAATTTTTTGAGATTATTTATTTAATTTATAATATAAAAATTTACTTTTTTATTGTATTTTTTAAAGTTGTAAAATACGCTATTAATTTTATCACACAATTATTTAATTTTTTATAATAATTTTTTCATTGTTTGTATAATAGAAATGTTAAAAAATAATAAAAATAATTCTTAAAAATGTAGGAATTAAAGTATACTTTTTTGTTTAAAGTACAATCTTAAAAGTAAACGTAATAAAGTTATAAAAAATAAAAAGAATATATTATTTTTTAAGATTTTAAAATATTTTTTCGTATTGAATTAATTATTAATTTATTAAGATACAGCAATTTCTATCTTTGTATGTGAAGAAGATGCTGTAGATTATATTTAATCTCCGTCATCTTATTCGCATCTTTTTTATCATCGTCTTCTATTTGTTGTAACATTTTAAATCATATTATTTCAATATTAATTTAATAGTTCTAAACAGTAAATTAGGTAAACATTTTTATTTATTAATTATAATTTATATTTAACCGTATAACAAGCATTTGACTCGTTAATTTTATAGAATATTAATTATTTAAATTAAATTAAATTATTAATCAAGAAATTTTAAATTTAGGATCTTGTTTATAGTTTCTAAAGCAAGTTTTAAAGATTATTATACGATTAATAAGAATAGAAATCGTTAAAATGTTTTTAAAAATATAAAAAATTATGTTATAAAGACGAAAAAAATACACGAATGATTGATAACATTAAAATTGCAATTTTTCTACTGTTTAATGTTGATTATTTTCGAGTAATTATCATTTAAGACTTCGTAGAGGGATTATATTTTTGTATAAAATTGAATTATAATTAATTGTATACTTATAAACAGAATTAATTTCTTAAATGATGAAGGAGCTGTCTTTAATCGGCATTCATCAATCACGCGTTTGATTCCAAGTATCCAAATTTTAAAAATTAATCTGTGGGCATAAAAGTAGAAATTTTAGGCAAATGTAACTTGAAATAGTTTACTAGAAGGACGATAAAATATTTTTTATTTTGTCATGTTTTTAATTGAAAAAAGTAGACAAGTACGAGTATTAAATAGAAACGGTTCCTTATTTAAATACTATGTTGTTACTAATAAAATGCAATTTTAGAACAACTTAAATAATTAAAAATTTCAAAATTAGGAGGCCTTTGACTCACATTTTATCATCTGCAATCTCTCTTTTAAACTCTTGCAGCATCTTTAGAAAATGTATTTTTCTGTTGAAAGATATTTGAAAATATACATTAATTATTTTATTATTTAATAAACCACAAATTAAAGTAGACTTTTCAAATAAAATTGAATAGTTTTGCCATTAGAAGTACTAAAATTTATGATTCTAGTTACAAATTACATCTTGGAATTTCATTAATTCATTTCGGTTAATTGAAACTGTATAATTTTACTAATAAAATATACATTTAAAAAGTTCAAACAATAATAATTAAAATATATTTTCATTTACACATTAATTTTTTTTAAAAATATTAATTCTAATTTCGAAATTCTCTTACTGATGTTAATCACTTACAACATCGATTTATCTTTAATGAATACGACAGAAACGTTTCGAAATATAATTTAAACAAAAAATAACAAATTAAATTGTATTTTTTTAATTTAATTATTTTTTCGTTATAGTTTCCAAAACAAAATTAAAATTCTAGCTACAAGCTATAAATTGGATTTTCATTATTTTGTTTTGATATAAATCTTTATTACGCTAACTATTTGAATTAATTAATATAAAGAACTAAACTTTATCTAATTATACTTACATTCTAAACAATTTTACTTGATCAAAAAGTCACGGTAATTTACTGTGAAAGGAGATTGTGAGATAATTATGATACGTAAAGTTTAAAGAAAATGTTTAAAAATATAATTTATACTCTTTAAATTGCATACAATTTGATAAAAATATGATTTTATGTGCTCGTGTATGAGAAATTTAAGAAGAAAAATATGTTTAGAAAGCTCCAGACCATGAATTTCTGCTTGAAGTTTCATTCAAGTAACCATAGATTATGGAATTCGAACAGATGTAACCATAGCAGAGACGTGATCAGATCAAACCCATTCAACCATTACGTGAACATCAAATGGATTTATAATGATTTATAGTAAGAAACTCTTCCAAAAAAGTTTAAAATTTTCCAAAATATATTGATTTTATATAAAAAGTTCTGATAAATTTAATAGCTTAAACTTCACAAATAATCATTTTATTTTTGTTTTTCTCCTCCTAAAATCACATTCAATGGAAGATGCTATTGTAGAAATAGATAATTTGGCTCTCCTATTTATTAATTATATTATATTTATAAAAATTAAATTAATATACGGATTATTTCCTGTCTACAAAATATAATTTTGAGGCATCTTTCTTCATTAATTTGATTATTTTAGCTTGATGATTAGAATTATAAATAAAGAATTTAACTTTTTTAAAATGGATTATAAGCTTAATCTGTTATATTTTCGACAGTTTTGGGTGTATAAATCGCTTCGTTGAATAGTAAGTTTATTTTTACTTTCTAGAAATCTACATGTATGTTAATTTTTAAAACGAAAGTGATGCCAAAATGAGGAATTTGGAGCACAGAGAAGATTGACAACGTATAAATTAATGGCTTTCTGTGTATTATACAGCAATATTTTGATATTTTTCTGTGCAACATTTAATTTTAGATAGCTTAATTATCCTTCCACCTAGAAATAATCTCCATTAAATTTCGTAATTTATCTAAATCCAAGATAAATAGAGCAGAATTCGATGTTTAATTATTGACGAAAGAGAAATTCCTAACTTTACGCGCCTTTAATGATTATGCAATTTTGAGGGAGTTTATTAAAAATTCGAAAGAGTGATCATAATCCTCCCCATTCGTCCATTAAAACTTATCCTAAACGTGAAAACTTTCCTTATCACTTCTCCTAAACCTTTCATATGAGGGGTGGAACTGCTTGTTTGATATTTATGACTCATTTCACACTGAATAAAGCAATTCATCTTTCAAACTTATTCTCGACGTGTTTAAATCACTTAAAATAGAATTAACTATGTTTAATTAAATTTTTATTATACTTTTTATCTGTTTAATATAAATCCTGATTATAAGAATAAAGAAATGGAAGAAGGAAACTATTTTCTACCTCTCTCCAATGTGAGGAAGACAAAGAGCATCGTTAATGTTTAATGTTGATTATTTTCGAGTAATTATCATTTAAGACTTCGTAGAGGGATTATATTTTTGTATAAAATTGAATTATAATTAATTGTATACTTATAAACAGAATTAATTTCTTAAATGATGAAGGAGCTGTCTTTAATCGGCATTCATCAATCACGCGTTTGATTCCAAGTATCCAAATTTTAAAAATTAATCTGTGGGCATAAAAGTAGAAATTTTAGGCAAATGTAACTTGAAATAGTTTACTAGAAGGACGATAAAATATTTTTTATTTTTTCATGTTTTTAATTGAAAAAAGTAGACAAGTACGAGTATTAAATAGAAACGGTTCCTTATTTAAATACTATGTTGTTACTAATAAAATGCAATTTTAGAACAACTTAAATAATTAAAAATTTCAAAATTAGGAGGCCTTTGACTCACATTTTATCATCTGCAATCTCTCTTTTAAACTCTTGCAGCATCTTTAGAAAATGTATTTTTCTGTTGAAAGATATNCGTTGTAAAAAATGCTTAAATATATTATTTATATTTGTTCCTAGAATATTTAAGTGCATTTAAAAAAGCAATTTTGTGTTCAATTTATTCAGAGAGTAAGTTGCTTTGCTCTAGAACTCGAAAATCTTACATATTTTTTTAAAATGGTGGTAATAAATAATTATTACTTTATCGTCGTCGCACAGTTCTGATTTAGATTTTTGGATTCTTTCCTTGGGACAGAAGGAGAAACAATAAAAAAGGGAAGAAGGATGAGGAGAAGAGGAGAAGGGAAAAAGGAAGGTAAGAGTAAGAAATGAAAGACGATGATGATGATATTTTCAGTTAAAAATTTAATTTTTAATCCAGAAAGTAAAGAAAAATTATGAAAAAATTGTCATTTGAAAGATCATACCTAATTGATGGATATCAGCTGCAACTAATGATAATTTTTTTTCCATAAAAAATTGTTTGTAATTGAATTTTTTACAAAATTTAAACATTCTTCCATAAAAGTTTTTATAATTTTATTAATTTATCCACAAAAATGATCATTTTTTAAATATATGAAATAATTATCTAAAGGTTAATTAATAACTCTTGTAAATAATTAATTTAAAAATGCATGTAAATACAGGTATACCTCGCCTTACGTCGGTAATTGGTTCCAGGAAAACGACGTAAGTCGAATTTACCTGTCTCCGAATCTACTTATCACTAGGAAAGCATTTTAAATAATATATGGTTAATAAAAATCTATTTTAAGCTTACAAACAAATAAATTTTAGTTTTTAATATAGTACAAAAAAAGTAATCTAAATTNATTTTAGATAGCTTAATTATCGTTCCACCTAGAAATAATCTCCATTAAATTTCGTAATTTATCTAAATCCAAGATAAATAGAGCAGAATTCGATGTTTAATTATTGACGAAAGAGAAATTCCTAACTTTACGCGCCTTTAATGATTATGCAATTTTGAGGGAGTTTATTAAAAATTCGAAAGAGTGATCATAATCCTCCCCATTCGTCCATTAAAACTTATCCTAAACGTGAAAACTTTCCTTATCACTTCTCCTAAACCTTTCATATGAGGGGTGGAACTGCTTGTTTGATATTTATGACTCATTTCACACTGAATAAAGCAATTCATCTTTCAAACTTATTCTTGACGTGTTTAAATCACTTAAAATAGAATTAACTATGTTTAATTAAATTTTTATTATACTTTTTATCTGTTTAATATAAATCCTGATTATAAGAATAAAGAAATGGAAGAAGGAAACTATTTTCTACCTCTCTCCAATGTGAGGAAGACAAAGAGCATCGTTAATCTTGTAGTCTTTTCTTACAACATTCTACTTTCAAGAGACTTTCAGATAACTTAGACACTACAATTCACAAAATAAATATAACATTTAAATATTTTAATTCAATTAAAACTATTTTCTAATAAGAATTTTAATTAATTTTTTAATCATACAGTATTTTATAAATTAATTATTAAACATCTATAAACTTTGACTTATACAGTATATAGGCCTATAATATATAACCTGTGTAAAACAGAATCGCACTACACAGAATATTACTTTTCCCTCTGTTTTATAGGCTATAACAGAGGGGGAGTCAAAAAATAACCCCTCACATTTTTACATTTTTAGACTCAAGGGACTTTCAAACGTCGAGAAATGCAAACTAATTCGGGAGTTTTTCTGTATGTATGGACGTTAGTGTGTGTGAGAGGCACAATTTTGTTCACCCTCCTTGAAGTGTAATAATGCCTGTGTTTTTGTCAAAAATTTCTGAAATTTTTCAGGGAGATTCCTGTGTTAGGGAAGTCGATGCTATTAGATTTTGGCGGCTAAAAGTCGAACGAGTTTCGGAGTAACTGGGTCGTGGATATCTCCAATAGGATCGAACTTAACGACGATTTTACTCGTTATTAATATTTACTATTTTTTATAAAACCCATTCCTGCCCCCAAAATTAAGCTTTTTGCCATTTCACAATAATAAAAAATATATGACGCTTTTAATAATAAAATATCATAACAGATGATGCCACTAAAGTTTTAATTGTTGCCGGGAAACTTAAGCAATTTGTTTCTGAAAATTTTTTTCTAGTTGGCAGGTTTCCGTTTTGGACAAGTTATTATAGTATACAGTGATATAGCAATATTTGAAGTAGTATTCTAATAGTGATGTGGTATATATAGTGTACTATAGTAGTGTTTAAACCGTTGTTTAGCGAATGTATGGAATGGTATAGTAGTGTTTGAAATGCCCACAGGGTTCCAGAGCTGTGGAACCTGGTCTACGATGATCTGCTTAACAGCATTGAGTCGGACCTGGACGTCAAGGCTCAAGGTTTTGCTGATGACACACTAATAATGCTGGCACATCAAAATTGTGACACTTTACAAAGGAAAGTCAATGAGATCCTCAACATAGTTAGTGGCTGGAATGAGAGAAACAAACTCTCTATCAATTATAATAAATGTGAGGCCCTAGTGTGCACAAAAAGATCCAAGAGGAAACATGTGCAACGCCACTTGCTCTGTATCTAGACAACAAAGAGATAAAGATTGTGCCTTGCTTCAAATACTTAAGAGTTTATCTAGACTCAACTCTAAGTTGGAAGTCCCATATTATGGAGATATGTGAAAAAGTCCAGCAGAGAGTCAACCTCTATAATCACATAGCCAGGAACACCTGGGGGCTAAGCAATAAAAACCGCAAATTGATTGACAGAAGGGCTATTGAGCCCTCTATTCTTTATGCAGCGCAGATCTGGGGCTATAAAGCAGTTGCTGTTCATAACAGGAGGAAACTGCTTGCGGTACAGAGGAGAGCTGCCATAAGAATTCGCAGGTCGTATCGCACGGCTCCCACCGATGCGTTATTGGTAATAGCAAACTTGATTTCCATACACCTAAGAATAAAAGAAATAGTCTGAAACTGGATAATATTAAATATGAACCATCAGAACATCGCCTAGGAAATCCAGACCCTCTGTAAAAAGGGAATGCGCCTAATAGAGCAAACTTAACCCTTTAAAATCAACATCCCGAAAAACCTCCATTATTGAATATAATTTGGATAGCTACGTCACAGGTTCTCCTCTGGATAAGCACCCAGGAGACAATGGCAACTATACAATAAACATCAACAATCACCATAATCATAATAGGGAAAACAGGAGTATTTACACAGATGGCTTCAGCAACCATAATGATACTGGTGCAGCCTTCGTTATATATGATAGTGACCATGTTATTAAGTACCGGCAATACTTCCGGCTTTATAGGCACTGTACCAATAACCAAGCAGAGCTCTTAATGGTTCACAAAGCGATCAGTATCATCACTAAAATCAAAGGTGTCTACAAGGACACTGTCGCTGTATATAACGACAGTGTGTATGTTTTAAATATTATCTCTAACAATAACAGATGCACTAAGACTGGGCACGAAGTGAGGCATCTTGCCAGGAATCTGAGTAGGCTTACCCAGATCAGTTTCAACTGGGTGCCTGGGCACTCGGACAATGAGGATAATGAACATGCAGATGCCCTTGCCGAAAAAGTCAACTCTATGAACATTTCCTTTTCATTCTCTACAATTCCAGTAACTCATGCCACGAAAAGCATCAGGAATTGCATCATGAAGGAATGGCAGAAAGAATTGACTGCCTCAACAACTGGAAGAACTGCTTTTAAATTCCTTCCATCCATCCTTAAGAGACAGACCCACAGACACTTCATCCATACTCATGCTCTCACTCAGTACCTCACGGGCCATGGCAACTTCTCCTCCTACCTAGCTAGATTTAAGAAGATTAGCAACGACAGATGTGACTGCGATGGCACCACTGTGGGGACGCCCTCCACTACATCCTTAGCTGTACTCAGGGCCGGCCATGGGGGGGGGGTTCGGCGGATGCTGTGCACCGGGGCCCCGCGATTGAGGGGGCCCTAACATTGTCAAGAATGCGCAAGAAAACTCGACAATATTCCTATCGTTATCAGTATGACGAAAAGTACATTTTATCGTAAATACATTATTATTGTAATCTCTGAATTTCGACAATCTTCAAACTAATTCTCGGTGATGCGAATGTTTAGTTTTTGTTATTTGATTCGGGAAACTCCCGAGGATCCCCACCTAAATTCGACTTTAAAAAAAAAAAAAAAACTTCAATACCATATAGCCCGCGTTAAGAAATGAAAATAATACTGNGCCGAACAATAGTGCGGGGGGAGTGAGTAATCGAGGGTCGCGTGGCGCTCAAACAAAAGACGAATCGACGAGATTTGAAAATCGCCTAACTCCGGGTTCGCGTAAGTCGGGGTATTACTGTATATCAAACGTTGCTTAAATGCTAAGTCGTACTCTGTAAAATATGTAAGATAAATGTTTTAACCGCTATTGGTTAATATTAATGATGACGTAATAATAGACAAAATTAAATTACTTCCTCTACTTCTATTTTTAACCAATCATCTTGATTAATCGGTTTTAAATTT